ACGGCAGTGTATGGCTGTTAAGTAAGCCAGAATAATGGCAAAATAAAAACTGCTGCCAACCACCAAGTAACTGCTCCAACTTTCACCACCAGGCATTACTGTTATCTAGATTATCTGGCAGGCCTGGAAGCATGAATGGGGATCTGCTTCAAAACAAGACAAAATTACCTGATTACGAAGTTTGAGTACATGTAATAAGGCAATCAGCATATAGATACACTGGAGACTTGGGTGGAGAATACCAATTGGAGTACAATCCAGACAAATGAAAGTGATGCATTTTGGAAGGTCTAATGCAAGAGTCAAGTATACAGTAAATGGCAGAATCTTTAGTAATATATCATATAGAAGAACCCAGGTGTACAGGTCCACCGTTCCCTCCAAGCAGCTATACTAAAGGTTAAGGTGGTTACATAGAAAGCTTGCCTTCATCCAATACAACTGTATAGAAGAACTTTAGTGAAGCCACACTTGGAATATTGTGCACAGTTCTGGTCCCCACACTGTCAGATGAAATGAGAAGACTTTGAGGTGCTGACAGATGTAGACAGAAACAATAGTTCAGCAGGATGTCGCCTGGTTTGTAGTATATTAGTTATGAGTAGTGATTGGGCAAACTTGGTTTGCTTTTACTTGAACAGAGGCAAAAGGGTGACCCGATAGAAGTTTACAAGATTGAGAAGCATGGATAGTCAGTATTTTAACCAGGGTAATAACCATGTCAATAACTGACTAGGAGCCATTGGATTAAGGTAAAAAAGACTTTTTAAAAAAAGGTAGATGCAAGAGGCAACTTTTCTTTTATGAAAGGCAGTCACTAAGTGCACAGAATGCACTGCCTGAAGTGTGGTGGAGGCAGATACAATACCAATATTTAGAAGACATCTTGCCAGACACATGAATATGTTGAATAAAAGGGACGTGGGCCGTATGGAGGGAAAAGGTTTTCATTTAGGAAGGCATTTTAGTTTGAAAAAGGTATCATGAATCATTGCAGATTTGGTGGGCCAAGGGCCTGTTACTATGTTGTACTGTTCTTGGTCTTTAGATGCACGCTAGCCAGCAGCTAAACATTGAATGAATTGAAGTTAACCCTTTTTTGTGCTGTTGCCTAAGTTGGACAAAGCTTTAATAAAGAAGATTGCAAAATGTTTTGGCACTCAGGCCGATGACGATGCTGCAGTGACAGCATTTAGTACGCCAACAAGAACAGTTTTGGATTAGGACAAACCAGAAGACCTGTAACGAAACCAGCAATTCCAGGGAGCCTTCTATGGAGGGGACCATTTAGAACTAGGACAGATCAAAGGCCTATAAAAAGGAATTGGATTTTTTTAAAAATAGTGGAGCAATTACGGCACACTTGCACAACTATCAAATAATTGAGGCCAAGCCAAATTTGTTAGAATCCATCACCCAAATAATCAGTTTGCCTAAGGGTTTATAAACCTGATGAAGCATTTCAAAAACATCTGAAGGATATACACCTCATTTGGAAGATTACAACTACTTGTTCTTATGAAGGACAGATGAGTGTCAGTATCAAGTTGTAGCTTGTCATCACTGCAAATGTAAAGGCCTCATGAAAAGTCAATATTGAGTTTTGATGTGGCATCTAATTGATTAAGATTTTGCAGGAATTTTTTTTTAGGAAATGAGACACACCATCACTCACAAAGATCTCTGCCTGCCCAACACCTATCTATGATACCAAATAGAAGTTGAGATGTGAACATTCATAGAAGCAGTCAGACCTCTGGGAAAAGAGCTGTTTCTGCTCTGCATAAAAAAAAAATCTCAAGCCAAAAGCTGTGACTTCTAATTATTAAGTCAGATTCCTTTTGGGAGTATGCACTGGTCACCACATGCCTCCTGTGAACAGGAGGCAAGTATCTGGTGAAGGAAGATTGAGAAGCAGCATTCTGATCAGCAAAAGGATCATCTCAGCAGGCTCTGTGGACACGGAAGGGTAAACCGGCTTCCCAGCCTGTCTTTCTCCCCACATTATCTTTCTTCATAGCTCCGTGGGAGTGTAAGTAAGTGTTATAAGTGGGTTAAGTTTTAAACTGGTAGACCCAAATTAACAACCAGTCATCTTCAGCCAGAATACATTTATTTTTAATATGCATTCTTCAAATTCTGAAACCTAATCCATGCTTTCTATCAACCTGTGTCTAAAGGGGACGTTGAGTTAGGTAATGCTGCATGCTTTAAAGCTTTTATGATCCCAGGAATAGAAAGGCTTGATTTCCAGCACACTACCTACTGCATCTAAAGTCAACATACGTCAGTGTAATAGAATACTCCATTTACCTGGAGAAGTGCAGTTCCAACAATACTCAAAACTGGTCACCATCCAAGGCAACTTAGCTACTCAAATGGCACACTGAATTTTGAAGGTGGTGGATACCCTTCACCAGTGTTTCACCATCTATGATATTAACTTCAGTAATTCTCCAGCATTTCTTTAAGTAACCTTCCACAACCTCTATGAGGTATGGTTTTCAAGTAGGAATATTCAACAAATAGTTTCAGCTGTCGTTCTTTTTCAAAAAAGAATCCATTCACTTTCAGAGAACATTTGAGTCTTGCTTGAGATTTCCTAATCTTTCATTATCCCCAACTATGACTGAAATTCTTGTTTCTATTACTTTTGTTTGCAAACTAACGAATCTCTCCCAAGTGCAACAAGTAATGCATGGAAATTATTCAGATATTGTCTCACCCAAACACCAACTCCAAGAACAGTCTCCAGGTTTCTACTCATGGATCTGCCATCAAATTTTGGAGCTTTCAAAAAAAAAATTGTTACTCTTCACTCCAAAGATTGGGCAGCCAACTAAGTTATTGAATTACAGAGTCAAATCTTCCTATTGCAAATGGTGTCCCTCTAACAAGTGCATTTTTATATTGCTGTATTAAATTTGATTGTGCATAATATCTGCATTAATCCAAATCCTTTTACACTGCATTATCCATTTCTTATATAGAGCTTTTTGGTAATCTGCTAATTAGTAAACCTGCAACCTTTTCAACTATACATTCCATATATTTAAAATGACAAAATGCCCAAAGAAAACAAATGTGCAATTCCACATTGCATTGTTAGGGTATGAGATTAGTTAAGAAAGCCACATTAGTTTTGTATGTATTCATTTGGCTTCCATAGCATGACTGCATGAACATTGACTTGCTTCTTTTAATGCAGCACCCTCCACAGATATTTGTGAATTCACAACCAACTTGCTAGGTCTCTATCTGCCCGAGTCTTCTGTCAAGTTTAAACTTTATTTTTGCTTCATAATTCAAGCACTAAATATTCCAATTAAACATTCCATTTGAATAAATGGACAGTTCAACAGTTGATATTTTGGTCAGTTCTCTCAAATGGTACCCCATATGATTTATTTTGCATTGTAGGACTCTGGTAAACAAACAGTCAGCATGCACTACACAAGACTTCATTATAACGACATGTCTTGAACACCATAGTACTTTGTAGAAACTTGAACATAAGTTACAGAAATGCTTTTTAATATTCTTTATGTGGTCCAGAGGATTAAGTTGATGAGTTGGAGTTAACACTTGAACAATGAAGTTCAAGAAATGACCTTGATTTATCATGTTCCAGGCAACATAAACTTGGGAGTTTGCCAAAAATTAGATATAGACCAAAACAGACAAATCTGTTAGAAATTCAAAGTGGAGTGAAAGCAAAGGAGTAGAAAAAAATACTTGAACAAATAGTTAAGCAGACAATGGTTAGGCAGATTAGCACCAATTGTCAGAATTTTAAGCTTTGCATTGCCATGTTGCATTTACTAAACAACTGCATTAAAAAGCACCGTTTCAACATCCATTAAGGAGCTATTGGTCACCATGATTCACCATTTGCAAGACATTTCATGTTTTGAATTGACATCTCGGCTGATCACCCTAACAACAAGGATATCAAAGGCTGCACCTAATTCAGTTTTTGTTATGTAATGATGGCTGAAGAGTTGACAAAGTGGTAAAACACTGAAATTTACCACCTCAAAGAAGGGTAAGGTTCAACAGTGTTAAGTTGAAACAGAATTGGACTAGCCAGCTTCAGAATACCAACTCCTCCTCAGTTTGAAAGACTGCAAGAGGTAACCTCCAGAAAAGCCTCAAGATCCTCATGTCAGCTCTCGACAAAGCACTAGAACACTAAAATCTATCAGAGCTGCAGTTCAGTCATTCCAACTAATGTCTTTGCATTTTAAATTTTAATTGTGTTTTCTGATGCTGCCAGACCTACTGGAATCTCCTGACATTTTTTTTTTAAATGAACAGCCATCTGGTACATTTTATGCCTTTGTAACCAAATTTGAGGAAGATTAGCCATCAGGCATTATCACTTCATGCCTCAGGTTTTGATATCCAATTTCAGAACGTTTACAGCCTACTCTGTTGTTTCCCATAATTTCTCCTTAGACATTTATGTCACCTGTTGGTCAGCTGTTAGTTTTACATAGACTGCCTATGCAGTTTAGCCCTCAGAACAGATTTTTTTGAAGTGTTATTGAATGTAGGTGAGTTAAGTGTAAAATGAACAAATGCTGGTTTCAGGCAAGCTTTCAAAGTCTCTCTAAACTGAAGCCAGCTTGTAAAATATCTCGAGAAGCGCGAAGAGAAAAATTGGAGCCTCAGTTGAACTGGTTCGATGGCATCGGACAACGCCAATCGCTTCATTAATTTAGCTAAATTGGTGCCACAACATGCCACTGCGTGAATGACTTTCTTTTAAGTTTGAAATTAACCCCTGCAGTTGATGGCGTATTTAAAATTAGAGCCAGCCCAACAAGCTCCATCACAACATCACGCTTCGCACCTCCTCTCGCTTTTAAGCGCGGGACTTGGCGAACCCTGTATTTATAGGCAGCAGCCACGTGATCTACATCACGTGCAGCATCGCGCCTTTTCCAACGGACCAGCCCCACGTGACCTACACGCTTGGCGTTGACGTCACCGCGCAGGGCGGATTCACGCGTAACCCCGCCCCTGTCGGGACCACGTGATCTGTAGCCATGGTCGCGCTCTGTTTTGACCTTATTTGCTTCTTTAATACAGTAATCCCGGTTCAGTTCACGTAATATTGGAAAGTAGTTGCTATATCTTATTCCGAAATTTGTAAAGTGACGGTAAGGATATGTATTTTATTTAAAATGAAGCCCTATCATTTTCTACATATATAATTACTGTTGGAATTAGGTGGGTTTTGGGCCCAATCCATTCAGATCAATGTGGCCATTATTAGCCGGTTTTGTTCTAGGATTTTTTAAAAATAAGGTTTGTTACTATTATATAATCTATTATCAACATAATTTCTGACGACTGGATACAAAGTGGAGATTCCTGTTCCTGATACCAGCAATGTTTGACCAAATCCTTTATGTAGTCGATATTCCCTATGTTTTAGTTTGTTTTCTTGCACATACAAAGCTGGACACATTGTAAGGAAAGATGTGGAAAGGATGTGTGGTCCCTGAGCCTTCATCTCTGAAAGTCACTGTATGGAAATGCGAATACTGGGAGTATTGGAAAAGTTTGGTTGCAAACTGAATTTATTCCATGCAAAGAAAGCTGGCAATAGGACTAGTGAATCTCTGCCAGTTTGCCAAATGGTTGTAAAGTCCACTACCGTAATTGCTGATGGAAGTAGGAAGAAAAATACACAGTACATCCTGATGTGTTTTCTGCTTGTTATATGTGCTCAAAGTCAATATAATGTGGAGCTGGAGGAACACAGCAGGTCAGGCAGCATCAGAGGAGC